CTGCTACGTTTTGATGAAATGTTTCCCCAAAAGCTCATGCGTTGAAGGCTTGGTTGCCAGTTGGTGAGGAAGTTGAGGTGACTGAATCTTAAAATCCCTGATTGCATCCACAGAGTAATCTATTGCTGACTTTGTGTCTGAACAGGCTGTTAGTAGTTAGAGGATAATCCACAGGGTTGTCTTTGAAGGGTGTATGCTTTCTTTGGTTCCTTCTCTACTGCCTTGGCTTCCTGGCCACCATGAATTGATCAGCTCTGCCTCCCAATGCCATTTCTAGTGTGATGCTCTGCCTAGCAATAAGCCTGTCAGCCGTGGAGCCAAATGACATGGGATTGAAACTTCTAAAATGTGAGCCAGATATATTTTCCTTTAAGTGTTTTTCCTGAGTTATTTTTTCCATAGTGCTGACATCTGATGAGCACACCTGTCATTTCCTCTAGGGTGCATTCCAAGAGCCCCAGTGGCTCCTTGAAACTGAAGATGATCCTAGCACTTATCCATGCTGTGGCTTTCCTATAATAATATGCTTGATAAAGTCTAGTTTATAAATTAATCTCTGTAAAAGATAGTGACCAGTAATAGAACCAAGAAATTATGAAAATGTAGCATTTAAGAAAATATCTTATTACACTGTAGATCTTACTAAAATTAGTATATAGCTTTCTTGTACGTTGAGACCTTTCAGTTTTTCACTAAGAGAAGCACTTTATAGCTATTCTTGGGCATACCTGAACTGCCAACATCACTACTCTTGCGCTTTGGGGTTCTCATTAAATAAAGTAAGGCTTTTTAATGCAAGCATTGTAATACGCAACAATCTGATTACCCAGATGACTCCTAAGTGGCTGACAGGCAGGGCTATCTACACATGGGTGTGATGGAAATGGATGGCTCATACTCTGTGAGATAGAGCAGGATACACAAGGTTTAACCAAGCTTTTCAGAAAGACACACTCCTAAACTGTTTTGATAGTTTTGACATTTTCTATATAATGTTTTTGGACATGGATTGACCTTAGGTGCCTCAACCTATAGAATCTAAAACACACAGATAATGGAAAGCACTGTATTTTAGAAGTTCTCATGTCTACTGCTGATGTACTCTTATGCTACCATCGCTGACTGCCTCTGAGGCTACACTAGCCTCCACTGTCAGTCAAGGTCAGTGAGAATGAATGAGGCTTTACTGTAAATTTTAGCTTTCAGCAAGGGAGAAATCAGATCTCAGGTTGAGACTAGAATACAAGAAGAGGAATGTTGTCAGGCGGCAATGAAATAACATCATGCTGCCCACTGACTGTGTTCTGTGATTGAATAGGATGTAGCTGGTTAAGGGGTTCTGTGAAGTGAATGAGTGGACTGTGAGGCAATAACAGATCTGTAATAAGACATTCAGGGCATTTCACATTCGCAGAAGGTTTCATTAGGGAAGTGGTGATGGCCAAAATCTTGTGGATATGTCATGGACAGACACAATGCCACCATTACTGAAAACCAGCTTTTTTGTTGCTCTTGCTGGTTTCATTGCTTGTATGTTTATTTTCTTATTTTCACTAGAATACAAGTTCTAAGATAGCAGGAACCTTGATGCCTAAAAATAGGACCCACCTCAATAAATATATGATGACTTATTGCTACTATGGGTGACCACATGTTTCAATTAAAAGTGAAAGAAGGTAGATTGGTCAGGAATAAGAGACAAGAACAAGGTTATCTCAAGAACTATCCCCTCATGCTTGCTATCAAATTAAAAAACTCCTCGTGACCATGAGGATATACTCATGAAAGTTTGTGGGTGAGATTCTTTTTCAGGAAATGTATTTGAAATATGTAAGTTTAGAAAGTGAGTTTGAGAACACTAGTTTGAAAGGAAGTGCTTTTTGAGCTGAATACAGAAAGGACTGAAGGGAAGGGTCTAAGGAGAAGGAAATGATTGACGAGTGGAAGTAATGGGACAGAGGGCTAAATGTGAGCTGGGAAAACTATGAAGGCCAATTTCCCAAAACAACACATCAGATGGTATTGACCAATCAGGCAAGAAACTTCATTTTGATCTTCAAGGCACTGTGGAGCCAACGGAGAGCTTTCAATATGTAAAATCATTTACAGCAGGGATTGCATTGTAGGCAATATTTGGAACTGATTTTAAAAGCAAGGGAGGAAAGCACGATTATCATCATAGAAAATATGTTTTTATATCTGAGGACAACATTAACCTGTATTGCAAAGTTAGGTTATTATTTCAATCCTACTATATCACTAGAAGTTGAAAAAATTGCTTCTACAACAAATATGAAATGGCTGCATTGGGCAAACCACAAGTATTAAATCCAGGAAACAGAAATTGGCTTTCAATATTTGTAATAAAAAATAGAACCATTTCTTTACTTTTCCCCAATCTTAATAAATCTTTAACTTCTCTTTAAGATTTTTTTTATCCACTTTGCTCGGTAAATTTTCAAGTCCTACATAAGACCAAATGTATTTGAATGAAGTTTCTCTGGGGGGTGGTTAGGAAAAAGGAATTGAATGTAACTGTTTCTTTGTGACTCATTGCTTCAGGCCTCTGACAGCTCTGCAGTATCTACCCTTTTTATGCAGAGCTTCTGCTGGACACTGAATGAGGGTAAAAGTTAAAGAAAAAGAAACCCAGAGCATTTGAGCACGTGCCTTGTAAGCATAATTATTTATTATGAGTCAAGGCAATGCTTTTAAATTACTAATAGTTTACAGTACACAGCAGTGGCCAATGAGTCAGCTAGTGGATGCCCATGCATGAGAGCTTTGCATATATCATTCAGTCCTCCAGAGGTTTAAAGAAGACAGCAAGTTTCTGGACCTTCCCTCTCTTTTCTTCTCCCCCTATCTTCCAGGATCTGGTCCTATCAATATTTGGAATGGAAAACGTAGGTGTAGCATCTGGGTGTGGAACTATTTCCATGTGTATATGAAATATTTGTGCTGGCTATGACTTATTTAGTTTTAAGTTATGCACTAAGTAGTTGACACAATTGTCTGTTAAACCCCCTCTCCCAATCTGCAGTATGTGAGATCATCATCACTTACATATGATCTGTAGTATATGAGCTATCATCACTTACATATGATCTGCAGTATGTGAGATCACCATCTCTTACATATGATGACGAGGTAGCTTGTTCAGATAATGAAGCTGGCCTTGTGGACCCCCAAGCCTGGCTTTAGATCCATCATAGTTGCTGTTCCACTTGATTGTTTGGTAAAGGGTCTTTCCATCTAGAACAGTAGTGGGTGGGTTACTACCCCTTTGGGGGTCAAGCAACTCTTTCACAGGGATCACTTATCACATATCCTACTTATCAGAAATCTACATTATGATTCACAACAGTAGCAAAATTACAGTTATACAATAGCAATAAAATCATTTTATGGTTGGGGTCACCACAACATGAAGAAGTGTATTAAAGTGTGGTAGCTTTAGGAAGGTTGAGAACCACTGCTCTAGAATCTCTTAATGAGAACCGAGCCATCCTTGTGTCTGAGCTTGTCATGTAAATAGACAAGTAAGCAGTGGTCTAGAGGGGTAAGTAACCAGTGAGATATCACCTGGAGACAGTTCTGGGAATGGAACAAAAGGAAGTGGCCATAGGGTGGGAGGCTGGGGGGGGTGGGGGAGGGTGCCAGAGGAGGGGAGGGAGAGGGAACTGGGATTGACATGTGAAGCAAGCTATTTAAAATTAAAATAATAATAAAAAATAATAACACATAAATGATCCGGGAAAAAAAAAACCTTTTCATCTCCCTGCCTCAGCTTCCTCTGTGAAGCATTTTTGGATTAATATTACCCCCATAAAATGTGAATCAGTGTGACACTTACACATTACTAGACTTGTTTGATTTAATGCAGAGTCCCAGGCCAGACATTCAGCCTCTACAGCAGCTCTCAAAGGACAGAAGATGAAGGGATAACCTCAACATCAGAAACATTGTCAATATTTAATTGAATTTTGAAGATATAACAGGATTAGTAGTTATTTTTCCAGTTTCCATATTGCTTCCCACTGAAGCATTTATTTCTGAATGCAGCAAACACTGAATGAAGCTTACTGATCACAGTGGCTATGCCACCAAATCAGAATTCTGCATAGGGAGCTAATTACTGGCTATGTAGATGTGGGAAGTACTGTACACAGGTGTGTATTCACCGATGTGACCTCAGTGTACTTTCATGACAGCATGCCATCCTGGTACAGAGATGCAAAATAAGTGCACATGTATTTCATGTAGACCTAGCGTTTTGTATAAACAGAGTTGTTTGTTCAATGTCAACACCAAAGAATGATTTAAAGACAGAATTCATGCAGGAAATAAGCAACTAGTCCGATGAAATGATATTTGCTAGTAACCCATTAAAGGAGTCTGTTTCTTGGCCTGATAGTTTAAAGTGGTTGTCAATCTGATAGGATCTAGAATCATCGAGGACACAGACTCCTGGGCATGTCTGTGAGACGCTATTTTGGGTTAGCTTCTGGGGATGTCTGTGAAGGATAAGACCCATCCTGAATGTGGTCAACACTATTCCACAGACTGGGGTCCCGTACTGAGCACAGAGAAGAGAGCTAGTAAAGCATGGACATTATTCTTTCTCTGCTTTTTTTTCATTGGTGAATGCAATGTGACCAGCTACCTCATGCTCCTATCACCGTGATGGACTGCACTCTCAGACTGTGAATCAAAATAACCCCCCCTCCCTGAAATTGCTTCTTGTTGGGTATTTCTTACAGCAGTAAGGATGGTAACTGACACAATTATTCGCGAGAGGACATGTTTTCTCATGTTGCTTGAATGCTATGAAAACATTCTTCCAGTAGCTAAGAATATGCAGAACCCAGAATGAACCAGATATTACAGCATCGTGGTCTCAGCATTTCTGGGTGAGAAAATGAAGCCAACTGCATTCTTCTGGGGCTCTCTGCTTTTTAGATACCAATGCAGTGGCAGAGAGTTGGCCAGCATTCAAGGGAATTTGTAACAGAGAGAAGAGCTCATTGTCAGTGACAGGCACAGTGTATGACGCACAGAGGAGGCTCAGCCAAGACAAAGAGAAGGGAAGCTGACACAGAAGTCAAGGTGAGATTTTTCTTGGTTACATTTAAAGAATTTTTTAAAAAAACTTTTTACTTAGATAGGCACAGTAGGAAATTGGTATCAAGCAACCACTGTAAATATTTTATTTCTTTTATTGTGTGTGTGGGGAATGTATTAATTAGTATTTGGGAAAGCTAAGGTACAAATGAGTACTTTACTAGGAGTTCAAGCTTCCTCAGTAAAGAGTTTAGTAGCCCCAAAAGTAAGGGTAAGTGGTAGGCATATGGTGTTTAAGATTTTGAGTTCTCTATGTATTCTGTATATTATTCTCCTGCCAGATGGGTAGTTGGCAAAGTCTTCGTCCATTCCGAGAACTGTCCTTGACACTGCTGATCATGCTCCTTGGTGGTCTGAAGATTTTAAACTCCATGAATTCTGCTGGCCAGTTCTTCTTATTTTTCTGACCTTTCCATACTGTGAATAAATTCTTGTTTATGCCTAGATTTTGATGCATTTTCTCTGTTTTCGGCTTCTACTATCAAGCTTCAGGTTTTTGATCCACACTGACTTCAATTTTTTCCCTGAATGGTAAGAGTTATGAATCTAGTTTCATTCCTCCATAGGATATCCAAGAGCTTGGTCCCTACTTCAGGCCATGATTTTAATGCCAAAAAGTATCAACCTGAGACTGCTAGTGGTCTTACAAGTTATTTTTATTCAAATCCACTACACATTACAAATACAGACATTTAAGATAAAAAGTTTAATATTTCTGGAAATTCTTTTTGTTATTCTAGTAGATTATCCTTTATTAATACTGCCTTATATTCCTCCAGTTTTCTCATTTCTGTCTTTATATCAATGGGTAAATTATCTATCTCTATGATATCACAGTCATGGTCTTTGATACAACCTGTCCTTCAATATTTCATGTGTTCAAAACACATGAATAGTTTTAGTTCTCAAGTCCTCTAACGCCCCCAACTTTTAGTCTTTAAAGACAAAGAAACAGCTTTGGCCTGCTTTATATTTAAGAATACAGTGTTTGATTTTACAAAGGCTTATTGCTACTTTAACTTCCTTTTTAACAGTCTGACAAATTTATTTATTTTCAGGCATTAGTTATTAATGTCTTTTGTGGCTTCTTTTGATAATTTGAAATTTTCATGGGGAATAGATGCGATCAAGACACACTGAATATATGTAAGAAATTGTTAAAGAATAAATAAAAAATCATTAAAAGGGAATCTAGTTTTCAAACACAATTGCATTTAGTGCTTTTAATTTCACTTACATTTGTAATTACCTTTTAATTTAGTTTATTGTCTTGTTTTTTATATTTATACATTTTTCTTATTTAGTCATTTATCAAATTATCAAGTCTCATTGTTTATTTCAAATAATTGTTCAGCTTTAACAGTCCTGCGTCTATACCTAAAGAATTCTAAGTTCTACCATTGAGATATTTGCACATCCATGTTCATTGCTAAGAGCTAATAGCTAAGAGCTGAAACTTGCCTACATATCCATAAGTAGATGGATGGATTAAAAACGTGGCACACAGATATCACAGAAATTTATACAGGTGTAAAAGAAGCAAAATCGTGATATTTGCAGGAAAATGAATGACATTAAAATAATTATGTTCAGCCACTATCAGGGCAAATATCACATTTTGTCTTACATGCAAATTGCATGTGTCAACGGGTATGTGTTCATGCATATATGTCATGAAGCTACAAAAAGATTTATTTTGTCTTTCTATTTTAAATACTTTTTAAAATCAATTCTTTGAGAATTTCATGTTATATATTTTCATAATATGCATTCTTTTTCTGAAACCCCTCCCAGATCTTCCTCCATATCCCTACCTACCCAACTTAGTGTTCTCTCTCTTAAAATCCATGCCCATGAAGTCCTGTTTGGTTGACTTACTATTCCTGGGTCTGCTCTTGAATGTGGTTTATATATAAATTGTAGTTCCACTTAAGAAAACTGAGTATTTCTCACCCAGCAGCAATCAATTGCTAATAGTTCCTTGTGTAAGAATGGAACTTCATGCCTACCATCCATGCTGTACACACTGTGAATTCAGATATGTACATGACCTGTTGTGCCTAGAATTCACTTAACACCCATGACTCTTACACCCTTTCTGCCTCTTTTTTCCAGAGATTCGGGGAAAATGATATGATGTACACACTACTAAATTGGGTGTCAATGTCCTAACTAGGCACCATATGCTGCCAAGTAGAGTATCAGTACCTGGGTGGATTACCTCTTTTGGCCAGTGAGATAATATTACAAGCTATTGATAATGTTATTTTGTTATTATCTATTACTAATGTTATTGGTTATTCTCCACAGCTTGGCAGTAAGACCCTCCAGCTAAAGACACTACATATTTGAACCATAGAATATGTTGAAATCTAGAAGGTACTCTTCTGAAAGCTTCATTCTTACCAGCTAGCATTAATTACACTAGAAGATACCATGCACACTACCAGAGGAGAAAAACATTCATCAGTCTCACACCAACATATAAGCCCTGTGAACTACAATGACCTGTCTGGCAAGACATGATCATTGGTGTGGTAATGGCATGAATGTTATAGAAGTAACCAACCTTTTTTTTGTTGCATTTAAGGCCCTTTCTCAAGATGAAACCCAAACTTGACACTGTCAACAATGCCAGGAAGCTCAGACTAGATATGTCATGGGTCCTATGGGAACACCTATTACTAATATTCTGCTAAATGGAAATAGTAATAAAATATCCCTTAGTGACATATTGCGATATGCATACACCATTTCATTACTCAAGCCTCACCAGAGAAGCTTCTTGTAGTAAATGGCTACTTTAACTACTGTATGTCTTCACCCCCACCCTCCTGCTCTTGCTAAGGTCACAGAAACCTAGCTGGAGGTGGTGGGAGTAGTCACCTGGCCAAGTTTCATCTTAAATTAGATTGAAAGATGTGTGTGTGTGTGTGTGTGTGTGTGTGTGTGTGTGTGTGTGTGTGTGTGTGATTTCTTTCCTGTGTGGTCCAAAGACATTGTGTTTCTTGACTATGCTATCTTTCCCCTTATTTTCAATCTAGAATTTGGTTGCAGTCACCTAACTACTTCAACTTATAAATGGGGACAATAAAAAACATTTTCAATTTTCCCATGGATATTAATGATCCTGATGAAGGATGAGAAATCATGGAAGAAATTAATGTAATTCTTTATCTTTACTATTATTTTATTTTATAAATTATTCAACCAAAATTATTTGTGTAATGTCTCTGTCTCTGTCTCTGTCTCTGTCTCTCTCTCTCTCTCTGTATGTGTGTGTCCATGTGTGAGTGAAACTTGAAGTACATGTAGAAGTCAAAGGATGACCTTGGGTATTATTGGTCATTCTCTTCTACCTTGTTTATTAGGAGAGAGTCCCTTGTGCATGTCAGTGTGTGGCAGACTAGCTGGTCCATGAACTTCCAAGTATACTCTTGTCTGATTCCCACCCTTCCATAGAAGCACCATGTTTAGAGACCGATGCACTATGCACAGCTTTACAGGGGTTGTGAAGATCCAAACAAGGTCTGTATGATTACATAGCAAGTACTATATTCACTTAACTAAACCTATTCTGTAGTTAAGAAGAAATCACATTTTATGTATTTTTAAATATAATTACTGTCGTAGTCAGTGTTGTATTTCTGTGAAGAGACACTATGACCATAGCAACTCTTTTTAAAATATTTATTGATTTTTATTTAAATTAAAAGCAATTTTATTTTACATACCAATAGCAGTTCCCCCTCCCTCTGTCCTCCCAATTTCCCCACAAATTCCCCATCCCATCTCCCATCTACTTCTCAGGGAGGGTGAGGCCTCTTATGGGGGATCATGAAAGTCTGTTGCATCATTTGGGTTAGGACCTAGGCCATCCCCCATGTATCAAAACTGAGAGAGTATCCCTCCACAGGGAATGGGCTCCCAAAGCCCATTTGTGTACTATTGATAAATACTAGTTCCAGTGCCAGAGGTCCCATAGGGTGCTCCGGCCTCCCAACTGACACCCATGTTCGGGGGCCTGATTCGGTCCTATGCTGGTTTCTCAGCTGTCAGACTGGGGTCTGTGAGCTCAGGATAGCTGTTTATGTGGATTTCCCCAGAATGGTCTTAACCCCTTTGCTCATCACTCCTCCCTCTCTACAACTGGATTCAGGAGTTTGTCTCAGTACTTAGTTGTGAATCTCTGCTCTGCTTCCACCAGCTACTGGATGAAGGCTCTATGATGGCATTTAAGGTAGACATCAATCTGATGATAGGGGAAGGACCGGGGCAACTCTTAATAAGAAAAACATTTAATTGGGGCTTGCTTACAGGTTTAAAGGTTTAGTCCATTATCAGCATGGTGGCAAGCATGGTGGTACAAAGTCAGATGTGGGGTTAAAGAGGTAGCTGAGAATTCTGCATCTGGATGGGCAGGCAGTGGTAAAAAAGATGTTTGGCCTGCCTTGAGCATTTGAAACCCTAAAGCCCATATTAGGCAACACATTTCTTCCAACATGGCACACCTCCTAATAGTGCCACTCCCTGGTGACCAAACGTTCAAATCTATGAGCCTATGGGATCATTTTTATTCAAACCACCATATTCCACTTCCTGGCCTCCATAGGCTATTAGCCATATCATAATGCACAAATGCATTCAGTGCAACTTCAAAACTCTCCACAGTCTATTTACAGTCTCGAATTTATTTAAAAGTCTAAAGTTCAAAGTCTCATTGGAGACTCATGCAATCTCTCAACTGCAACCTCTTGTAAAATCAAAATTGAAAAGCATATCACATATTTCCAACATATAATGGCACAGGATATATATTACTATTTCAAAAGGCAGCATAGTGAGGAAATAGTGAACCAAAGCAAGTCTGAAAACCAGATGTGCAAACTACAAACTCTGCATCTAGATGTCTGATGTCAAAGTGCTCTTTAGTCCTCCAAATCCTTTCAGTTTTGCCGATTGCAGCACACTTCTTTCCCTTGGTCATATTCCACTCCCTGTTAGTAGCTCTCCTTGGCAGGCATCCCATGACTTTTGTATCTCCAACTCTTGTGGTCTCCAGCAAAATCCAGGCCTCACTTTCACACAAAGGCCTCTCTGGTCCTTCATTCAGGGTTACCCCTGACACATACTTGGTTTCAGCAGCTTTCCTCAGTTGCAGAGGGAGATTCCACAGCTCCATTCTTCTATCCTTGATTCTAAAGTCAAACCCACATGGTCAAAGCTACCAAGTTATTCTGCTTGCTAGGGCTCGAACATGGCCCACTCATTCAAATACATCTTCACCAGCTTTATATTTTAGTTTCCTTCACTGCCTAAATTTGGCTGTCCTGAAACTCGATCTGTAGACCAGGCTAGCAATAAACTCTGAGATATGCTTGCCTCTGCCACCTGATTGCTGGGATTTGGGTATCAACATGGTTGGCTCTGTAGCATGTACTCTT